TTACTCTCTTTCTCTCTTTGGAAATTTTTCTTAATGTTTGCAAGATTTAGCGTATGAAATGAAACTTGTCGTGTCATAGATTTTGACAAAATTCTTGATTTTCGGTGATTCTTCGGTGGAAAAGAAATTTTTTTTAACTTGTAAATTTCAATCTTTTTGTCGCTTGTAAACTGTCTCTCTTGCAAACCATGCATAATTTCTTGCAGATTGTCCTCTTGCAATGACGCAATTTCATTAGCTTTGATATTATGAAATCTCAAATGGTTAGACTTAGTCATGAAACAGAGTAGAAAATTGAAACCTGATATGGGACGATATTTTCTGCATTTCTTAAGAGCAAAAAAGTTCAACATTTCTTCGATGTCGTTGCTTTATTTATCTCTGCAAGTTTTCTTGCATAAAGGTTTTCTATCACCAATTTACGATGGCTTTCTGGAAGTGAGCTCTAGATTTAAAAGCATATTCCGGTTAATCTTTTTTTTGTGAAATCGGTGTGATAGTACGCTTTGGTCGGTCACAACACCTCTCCATTCATAAATTTTTGGGTTTTTTTTCCATTGGCACACTGCATAAGGATAATTTTGAGAACCACATTCTGACTCTCAATGTATAGAGGTCTACTAATCCGCCTCGGAAGCGGAACTATTAATATACAGTCACCGCCAAAAAGCTGCGGACAAGCCTCCCTTCTTTTTTCATCGCTCTTTTTCAGAGGGAAAAGAAGGATAAAAAGTGCAGTAACTGCATGAGGTGATAGAGCTCTTCAAGATCTACAACCCACACTTTGCGCTTTTTGAGAAGCATGTATTTTGAAAATTTTAAAAATCTTTTTTTTAAGTCTGATGGCCGCATCACTATGTCCCGGAGACAATAATTCTTCGAACGCAAAAGTTTTCTTTTGAGTCCTATTTTTAAAGCGAAAAAACAAGTAATTTGAACGGGTAAGCATACTACTACGCTCGTCGAAAACTACACAGTGGTTATGGATGCTTCACCAAAAACACAAGCTTGAGTTTTTTTTTTCGCTTTTTTCGAGAAATGACTTCTAATTCCCTTTTTCAAGCCAAACTTCTTCACACGTAAACCTATACAAGACATCCAACGAAGTCGTTTGGATAAAATGGATGTTCTTTGGCATTCTCTATGCATCGGACGTGGACTGTGGCTCTTGGCAGTGCTTGTACATGACCCCACCTGCACCTCACCACTGACTTGCACCGCTCGGCAGGCTTGTAACTCGGCCTGCAGTCAATAATTGAGCCTGCAATTAGGCTTCGAAAGAACGAGACTTCCTCTACACGATGGCATGCAAAAGAGATGAGCACGAGAGAAAACGGAGATTTTACGGATGGGGTAAAAAAAGCGCGACCTCGGTGGTAGACTAAAATTTTTCCAACCAAGGTCAAGCAGAGCTTCCTTCGTTGAAACTTTTATCCCAGAAGCTCAGAACTGGCAACTTTCTTGTAATGATTCAGTTTCAAGCTTTTAAGGCTGTTTTGTCGATAAGAGCCTTCACTCTAATCACCACTGAGGCCGCGCTTTTTCACCCCATCTATCTCTCCTGCTCATCTATTTTGCATACTGTCGTGTAGAGGAAATCTCGTTCTTTCAAATGAGCCTACACTGCATGTAAAATGACTGCCGCCCGAGTTACAAGTCTGCAAAGCGGTGCAAGTCAGCGGTGAGGTGCAGGTGGGGTCATGTGCAAGCACTGCCAAGAGCCATTTTCAGCAAAGAAGCTCATCAACATACGTCCGATGCATAGAGTATGGCAAAAAGCTTCCATTTTATCCAAACGGATGTGTTGGGATGTCTTGAGTAGGTTTCCGTGTGAAGAAATTTGGCTTGAAAATAGAAATTAGAAGTTATTTTTAAAAAAAGCAAAATAAAATTCAAGCTTGCGTTTCTTTGGAAAGCAACCATAACCAGTGTGTAGTTCTTGACGAGCTCTGTATAGTAGTATGCTTACCCGTACTTGTGTTTCCGCTTTGAAAACAGGACTTAAAAGAAAATTTTTGCGTTCGAAGAATTATTGTCCGCGACATTGTGACGCGGCCATTTTCGGAGTTTTTTAGAAAAAGATTTTTAAAATTTTTAGAATATATGTTTCTCAAAAAGGTAAAGTGTAAGTTGTAGATCTTGAAGAGCTCTATCACCTCATGTAATTATTACATTTTTTATCCTCGTTTTCCTTCTGAAAAAGGCCGATGAAAAAAGAAGGGAGGCTTGTCCGCGGCGGTCAGTGTATGTGCGCTATCTAAGTTGCGCCAAAACATTGAGAAAGAACGACTTTTTACTACTTGTATACTCGGAATCTTCATTCTAAAATGTCAGAGAAACTATAAGCGTTAGCTTCCTTACTCTAAATGTATTAACGCGTTAAGTTCGTAGTTCTAAATTATCTCAAGAATCGCAGTATTGAGATCGGCGTGATAGAGCGCTCTTGGTCGGTCGTAACGGGTGTATGACTTTATGAACGATAGCATGTGCCAGCCGCCAGCTGGGTACCGTACGCGGTGCGCTGATAGCTCCACCCCCTTGTTAATTAGCCTAGGAATGCGTTGCAATCATTGGAAAACTTTCTAATATCTCGTTCTTGCTTCTTCAGTTAGTTGCAATTTGGATAACAGTAGATTTCAAGATTTCAATTGATTGAAAAGCAGTTTTCAGATCTTTTTTCATTATAAATTTATTCGCAAGCTCTTTTCAATGTATTTCAGTTATTTGTTCCTGGTAGGTTTGTCCAAATTGATTGTTTATTGTAAGTATGAGGAAATTATTTCATGCTTGGAAAAGTGTTTTTCTTTATTCGTTTTTTGTTTTTCTCAAATATTATTATCACTGCTGAAATGACCAAAACGATTATCTTTTGGTACTTTTCCGTTATGCGGACCCATTTTTTTAAAAGGCTCTCATGAATGCGCTATTTGATTTGAGAGCAATTCTTTTATAGATTCTACGAGGGCCGCTTCCCTGCCACGTGTCAGAAAAAAATTGACACGTTTTGGTCCAATTTGACATGTTTTTTTCAAAAGTATTCCCGGTGAGGTAAAAGAGCATTTATGATCACCTAAAAGCTGTCTAACGGTTTCTGTAAGAGAAAAACAATTTAGAACTTATATTAGGACATTTACTGCTGTTAGGGATGATTCAAAAATGACTTTCTCTTCAAACTCTGTCCGCCATGCGATTTTAGCCAAGAAGGACTGTAAATGATGGCTGAAGTACCTCGCTACTGCTTGTTTCGCCGCTAAAATGATGAGAATCTATCACAATTCTCTATTCTGAGCAAGTCCAGCCTGTTCATTAATAATAGGATAACGTCGTCATAATCATAATGATATTTATTTTTGAAATTGTTTACTCGAAAATGGGGTCAGATTTCATTGCGACGAGAATTCAAAACAAGCATTATAGGCGAATTTTGTTTTAAGCAAACTAATTTCGATAAATTGTGTACATCATTACCTCTGGTAAGGTTTCGCCTAATCAGATATCACTCGTTTTGCGAATATGCGGTCACATAGATCACACAAACTTTTTCAGGTTTCAGGAAAAGGATAATCACAGTGCACTTATATTTTTTCGAATCTGCTTTAGATAACAAAATTCTTTGGTTTGCTTTCAAAAACTGTTACCCTCAGTATAAATTGATCTGTAACTCAATCGAAATTGCGTGTGAACTAGTCGTAAGATGTGAGGTCACTTAGACAATCATGCCTTAGGTGTTCTAGATTGATTTCACACTTCAAAGTTGGATATCCACAAGTCACTCGGTCATTCATAGGTAAATCAGCAAATCTCTTGAATTTCACGATCAACACATTAGCTGTTCATGACTGGTAAAAAAGAAACAAGAAAGCAAAACAAAATTGTGTAAATAGTCAAGCTTCAACCCAGCTTGCAACAAGCTTATAACTCATTATCAGAAGTTGCTTTCACTTGCCTAGGGAACATGGCCATGAACCAGTGCTAGAGCTGTACTGCAAAAAACTCGTCCATCTTGCGATAGGCGGGGCTTACGGTGCGCACCTTATTGACACACGCCTGCCTAAGCGCGCACTATCGTTCATAAAGTCCGCCACCCGTCGTAACAGCTCTCCATCGTCATAACTTCTTGGATTTTTTTCCAATGCCCACTGCATAGGTTAATAAAAGCTTTGACTTTGTAAAGTAACAAGTGCAAAATAACAAGGTCTTTCCTGGTAAGGAGAGCGTCTTGCTCCAACATAAACTCAAATTGTCTCAGGTTTATGCGTACGTATATTGAAGCAGCTAGAGATAGTAATCAACTAGTCGCAAAAACTCTAGCAAAGTAAAAGCAAGTTTCTGTTTATTTCTATCTCTAAATCTAAAGAGTGACACCACCTTGATAGCTAAAAATGTACTAGGTTGGAGAAGTTTGTGTCGTTTTCAGGCCTGTCCACAAATCTCGCAGAATACTAGACTTGTGAAAAGATCAAATTACCAGAAGACAAAGCAAATCTTTTGCAATATGATGCTTTTTTCGCATGTGTAGGGACCAAATTTTTTTTGAGTCTCAGCAACACTCCATAAAACAACAATACGCAGTCCTCTTTCGGATCGCTGTATTTGTTCACAATATTTACAAGATGTCAAAAGTGTCTCTGAAAATTAGCATTTCAGCGCAGCAGTCGTCAATTAGATCGTAATAATTCTTGTACTTTTGGAACTTTCGTGTTTCCTGATATTCTTAGCATTTGGTACTTACAAGTAGTGACAACCATGAGATTCGCGACTTCTAGAAGATTATTCTGAAAAATGTAGGAAGGCCGGCTAATGGAGTGCGAATAAAAAAGTTGCGTTGTATTTTAGAAAAAGCTTTATTCGTTAATTTTGTGACTCCCTGGATATGATTCTCAGATCTTGCTTATGACTTGATGTTGGCCTCTTTTAATGGTAAAAACACTGCTTATTACTCTTTATTTATCACAGTAACTTGATGTATAACTATCACAAAATATAGATAGAATTTGCAGGTCGACGATCGTGACGAACGTGTATATACATTGCACACGGCATTCGCATCAAGGTAAGTCCTGTACGAAAGGGTGAGTGTGTGCAAGTGAGAAAGTGTGAGTGTGAGTAAGGGTGAGGGTGTGGGAGGATGTGAGGGTAAGGGTGAGGTAGCGAGCGAGTGTGAGGAAATGAGGGAGAGTGTGAAAGGGTGAGTATGTAGGAGGGTAAGTGTGAGTTAGAGTGGGAGTGTGAGGGTGAGTTAGCGAGTGAGGGCGTGGAAGGAAGAGAGTGTGTGAAAGGGGAAGTGTGTGGAAGGGTGAGGGTATGAAAGAAAGGGAGAGGATGAGAGTTTGAGCGAGGTAGGGGGGAGTTGAATAATTATGAAGAAGGGGTGCCTGTACATGTTTAAGGGTTTGAACAGATTACGCCTGCCTATCAACGTCACTTCCTTCCCTCCCCACCCTTTCTCACCCTCACTTCCTCCCCTTTCTCTCCTCGCCCTTGCACACCCACTCCCCCTTCCTTACACTCACCCTATCACACCCTCCCTCTCTCCCACACACTCGCGCACAATCTCACCCACACCCTCCCACCTTAACACACACTCACCCTCCCACACACTTACCCTTTCTCACTCACGCACCCTTCCTCACTCTCTCACACTTCCACACCCGCACACTCACTCCCTTTCACACCCTCACCCTTCCACACTCTCCCTTACCTCACACTCTCACCCTTTCTTAAAAACTTACCTTTGACAGAAGAACTTCATCGCAGCGGATGTTTTCGGCTCTGAAATCGCCACAGTTTGGTAATTTAAAACTTCAAAACAAAAGCAGTCTTTGTACATCTCTGTGGGTATTGTTGAAATAAATTTTGCCGCTGCTAGCATCGTTTTACAAGCTGAGTGAAACAACTATACAGCTCAAAACTGTGATTGTGGAACACAAAACATTATAGGCTTAAACTTCATCAAGTGTGGAGTTAACGAAGGAAAACGTACATGGAAACAGGAACCCTTTAAACCCATTCATCCTAGGGAACTTCGATGTCGATAACTTGTGAGGGAATTTAGGGGTAGGGTATGAACTCCCCATTTTTGGCCGACCTTCACGGACTACGTCCGCAAACGACATGCAGCAGCATCGCAGAAGGATCAGTTGTCCGCGAAGTGGAACGAAATGGCGGAGCTCATTCTTCTGTCCAAAATTTAGCAGGTTACTCCGAAAACTGATTTCGTTCCTGATGTATAACCACAAAATCTCAGGTAGAGAATGGTCATTTTCTATATAGCGTTAGAATTTCTAATAGGTACTCAAGGCTCTAGGTTGCTGCGAAACCAATGCTTGTTTCTTACATTTTTTTCCCCTATTTCATTGAGATTCTCTTTTATGAAAAAAAAAATCCTGCATATTATCGAAGAACTCTTTGCATGCTCTATCTAAGGATGGTTGAAACGATCTGCTGATTTAACATCGAAAATCTACAGAGTTTAGGCTAAGTCATCGTTCCAGCCATCCTTGGATAGAGTATGCAAAGAGCTTACCAGCTTCCCACTTGGTTTTGAAGACTTGGAAAAGTTGGATAAAATACAGGGAAAAAGTTTTGAAAAAATGAGCATTGATTTCGCAATAATCTAATGCTTATTTGATTTAGCACTGAGCACCAAACAAAACATTTTACGCTGAATAAAAATGGATAAATCTATGAAAATTTACTGGATTCTATACAGCCGCACTCAAACGTAAAACCGGATTTACAAATTTAAGCGCAAATGATTACGTTCTTATGTCAATTCAGCAATATAAACAACAGAAATTGTTCAAATTACGCATTACTCATTGGTTGAGATATCGACGCAATGTAGGTTATGGTCTCCTATGGGCCACGAATTTCTTCAAAAAAAACCAGCGTCAAGGCTTTTTCACTTATTTGAGCTAGAGGGTAGGACCAGAACTCTTTACTGGCTGCATGGCTGCATGGTGGCTTGTAGCTGCATTTTGCATTTGCATTTTCCAAAAGCCACCTCGTGCCGAGCCTTGGGTAGGACATCTTGTTAACACTTTTTTACGCAGGAAATCGAATAACTTCATAATTCGAGTTTACGCCTAGCGAAAAAAGGGTTGAAAAAGCTGACAATAACTTTTCATTTCTCATTATGTTACCTTTTTCGTCGAAGCCCCGCTTCGTAACTATATCAGGTTAATTAGAAATTTCTCAGATGTTACGTTTCGACGAAGTTTCAGCTTCGATGTCTGGACTAAGTAGCATGCTTTACGCCATTGGATAGAGGTTAAACAAGCTCTACCAGACTACACCAGACTACACCTTAGGCCGCTAATTCTGAATCTGGCTTCAAATTTGCTGAGCGACTTAGGGAAGAAGTTATGAAGTTCTTCCACCAATATTTGGATTGCTCTCAGTGATTCAAGGATATTGATGGATTTCCTCGGTTTGACCCCAATACGACCTTACAAGAGAAAAAATATTGTTTTGAGCAATACCTGCCCGAATGGGTTTGAATCGAATCTTAAGTGCTATTTTCTTCTATGCTCCAACTTGCAAAATCTTCAAAAACCTATAAAGGGTATTTGGAAAGAGGAAGTTTCTGGGCCTCAAGCACTTCTTGTTCATATTTTGACGTATTTTGTTTGTGGTCATTGACTAGAGACCTTCAAATCAATGTGAAACAGATTCCTGTGCGGTTTCTTTGACTTCTATCGAATTAGCGATGCATCTCCACACTCTTTTTATTGAACCCTGGTCAGAAAGAATGGTCGTTTTTTACAGAGTACTTTGTGCATCATTCAAAAACTTTTCCTAGTCCTCAAGTTTGATTTCTTTGGGGGTGAGTTCATTTTAAAATACATGAAAACCAAGAGAACCAGTTACAATCCAAATTCAAAATTAAATTTTTTTCGATAAATTAGGTCGTTCCGGAAGTAATGTCGCTTTTTCAAATAAACGCCACATCTTGGAGCAAGGTGACACTCGATGCAGCAATTCGCCTCTTTTTAAGGATTATAGAGTGTTGCAGCATATTCAACGAGCTATCGGATACCAAAATCTTTGATCCATACTTTTTGAGAAGGTCAAGTTTCACAATTTTGCCCAACTTTTATTTCAATCCTCCGAAGGAGTCCGTGTAACTATTCGGTAGAGCAAACCTCAGCGGATATGACGTAAATTTTTTCTCTTTTCTATACCTCGCCATAATTTTTCAAAATATTTTTTTTACTAAAACCATCGGATTTCGGCGGGCTTACGTCAGCCACAATCACATAAAAAGTCAATAATTTTTCGGCATTTGAAACTTCCAAGATAGTAATATAATTTAGCACTAGTTTTACAAAGCAACTGAGAGTTCACGGACTCGAAATATCAAATTGTTTTACGAATACAGCCTGGGGCGCAATCAAAAACACGAGTTATGAAGATTTTGTCTTCAAAGTTTCCACGAATCGGGAACAAAAAACACCCATTAGAAAGAGGAGAAAATGCTGCATCGAAAAGCACCCGAGTTGCTCTCTGCTCTCTTGTTCGACGAGGTTTTAGCTGCCCGAGTACAGAAACTTGCAGCATCAGTTGAAATTCTATTAGAACAGTATGACGGGTTAAGGAAAGGAGAGAAAAATTGTTTTGCGTCTTGTACGGTTTGCTCTATAAGTCTGTTATCTGGACTCCTTCAGAGGGCTGATATAAAAGTTTAGAAAAATTGTGAAACTTGACCATGTCAAAAAGCATAGACCGCAGATTTTGGTAATTTTCCAAGAGCTTATTGACTTTGCCGCAATGTATAACTATTAGATAGAGGACGCTTTGCTGCATCGAATTATAGCAAGATCTCTTAGATAGCTTAGTTCCACCAGATGTGGCGTTCATTTGAAAAAAGCGACATTACTTTTGGAACGACCTAATAATTTTTGAAAACGTGCGCAATGATAGCGAGTAGCTGTGCTACAGATTCACATCGAAACGAGACTTCCAATTTTTTGAGAAAATCTTTCATCTTAAACTTGCACGGTCGGTTACGGTCATATACTTTGTAAAAAAAACTTTGATTGATAGTGTTTGCAGAACATTTGTTTTATACGAGAGTTTAAACTTAGGACATTCGGTAGCAGGAATTGTAAAGCTGTTTCCGTTTCCCACTCTTGAAAAAAGTATAGATTAATTGACGTTCTTTTCCGCCTCTTTATGGAGACCGAAGTAAGTGATTACAAATTTTCTTGCAATATCTTCGAGCAAAATAATGTTATTGATTTATTGATCTCTAGATTAAGCCAGTATAATGAAATAGAAAGCACACAAAAAAATTGCTTTCGAAGTGGTTGCGGATGAAACTTTCCAGGCATAGGTGCGAAGTAAGGTACAAAAAAAAAGAGGTTGCAAAAAATATTGAAATAGGCAGACTAATAAGCCTTTATAGTCGTGTCCAATGAAGAGGTGGTAGTGGTAAATTATCCAAAAGGAGCAGATGAGAGCGCATTGTTATTGGTTCTCTACACTCAATTTCTTTCTCAGATGCTATATTTGTTCCTTTGCTTTTCTGCACATCTGTATGCCTTGGAAAAAACTGCAGATTTTCTCATCTGTATAATTTTACACAACTATGCTTAGATTGCTTAGATTTTCTAAGAGAGCTTTGCAGATTGATGAAACATTCAGCTAGTGTTTTATGCTGTCACACTTATCTAGCACAACTTCGATGGTCACGACAAAACACAGCACTCAACTTGCTGGTTATCATTGAATCGTCAACCATATGCTGACCCTTCCAATTATTGCCAGTAGAAACTAGGTGAGTGTTAGGAAGGGAACTAAGGCAGGAGTGTGCGGATATGACGTAAGTGCTAGGTTGGGGAAGCGAATATTACCTTCCAAACGCCTGTGAAAGAAGCGGCAAAACTTTGGAAGATCCTGCTACGCTGCAGCGACCAGAATTGGTAGCGATCTAAGGCGCATCTATTGGAATAAAGAAGCCAAACTGATTTCACGTTTCAATCTTTTTCCCTCTGAGTGTACGCTTGTGCTAAAATTTCGTGCCGAGTCTACGCAAAATCATTGCCCAAGTCTTCAGTCAGCAGCTTCTGCCGAAGGACGGAACTTGGGAACCCGAGAAATTAGCATGAGTCAGGCACTTGCAGAATGTAATCATACTCGCTGCCTCCAGCTTCCTAGGATACCGACAATAATTCCCCCACCGCTTCCCACATTCCTTTTTTTTTTCAGAAATGTAAATCGAGTGTAGGTAAAAATAAGAAAAAGCACAGTTTTGATTGGAAAAAGGAACCACAATGAGTAAAGTGTCAGCTCACTCTGAAAATGAGCTTGAACTAATTCAATTTCAGCCTGACTGAGATAAATTATGAAGTGAAAACGTTTCAAATAATCAAAAGCTGGATCTTATCTGCGTTAGGAACTCCTGTTTCCGTTGGAGATAGATTGGAAAGCTTTTGATAAATTTAGAATAATCTAGAGGAATTTTTGAATAGGTGCACTAATAACCGAACTTCATCTATTTTGAATATAAATATCTAAGAAGCAGTGGCCTACCCAGGATTTCCGTTCGGGAGAGGGGAAGGGGGGATGGCGAAAAAAATTTTTTTTGATGAAAGTGCGTGGCGTCAACCACGCACTTCGGAAAAATTTATTGTTATGCTTCCTAAAATTTTTGCGGGCCCATAACCCGAAATTCAAAAAAAGGGCGTGGCTGAAACCACGCCCCCGAAAAATTTTTTCCAGTAAGGCTAAAATGAGTTTAAAAAAAATTCAAAACTTATTTTAATTATTTACAAGTATAAGCAAGTCACTTGCACATTTTATAACTCATGCAAGTAACTTGCGAAAATTTCGCGACCCACTCTCGGGGGGGGGGGGGGGTGAAAACTTTTCGTGTTGTATGAAAGCCCGCTTCTTCTATATTCCTGTATACTTTTTCGTCTTCGAAAATCTTTGCACAAACCGAAGTTTCATGCCTTCGAAGCTAAGATACTAAAACTTGACACTTTTTCCTTTCATTTCCTTTGCTCCAAATCTAAAATGCTCAAATTTTCTTTCAAAAAATGCGTGTCATAATAGCGAAGTTTTGTGCTACACAATGCTTACCAAGCAAAATCGTTGAAAATTCTGAGCCGAGAAGCTTCGCACACAATTGACTTATTGCTGAAACCATTCTACCCTGTATAAAAACCTTACGCAGAAAGCGATTGCGGAATTTTCGCTCTGCTCAGGTAGAGCGGACCTAGTGCAGCTAAAGATAAGAGAACAGCAAGATTTCCTCGTTTCTCAAAAAAGAAAAAATCAGAGAAATTTAAAAAACAGTTTTTTACTTTTCCTAAAACTCAGGAAAAAGCGGGTAATTACGATTTTTTAGCCACAATTTTTCCCGTAAAATCTAAGTTTTACGATACAACCGACCATCTGCAATACAATGAGCAAAGTTTGCGCCATCTTAGTACATTGTAGCTCAAGCTTTCCAATGAAAACCATTAGTAGTTTTCAGGTAGTTTATAAACCAAAAACTTTTCCATAGTGACCACAGGAATATCAAAGTATGCATTGTATAGCTAAAGGATTAGTGTCTGCACTATTTTTACAACCAGAAAGAAAATCGGAAAAAGAATTATTTTGATTCAAAGTCAAATTTTGAAAAAAACGTGCAATATTCATGAATCAATTATGCATGGAATGCACAGAAATCTCTCGTGTGTTTATGAATGGACAGAAACGACCATCAAATGTTCCGAGATCAGCACATCCTTGAGGCATGACAGCGGTTGGCAACTTTACTTTTGTTTTTATAGTTACCTTCTGCAATTTCGTGCGAAATGCACAGAAAATTCAGAAAGGCATGTTTTGATTCAGCCTCAAAAGTCGTCAGAATGATTCGGCGAAAGGGTGAGGTCATCCTTGAAAAGCGCGACACAACCCCTTGAATTTTTTAAATGCTATATGGAAGATTATGGACGGCGCAATAGTTCTTTCTCGTTTGAGACCACATTCAGCTTTGCATAGCTATTTTTAAGGTTTTGGCTAAGACCGCTTTTAGGGAACCGTTTTCAGTGACCTATAGTCCATAGGGGTCCTCACCAATACTTGGCCACGTTTTAAAATTCGCGAAAAGCATCGGTACTGCAAGTACTTCGCATGCTTGAAGGCCAACCTGCTTTTTCGCCAGCTACTTCCCTCTGGAAAGCTTGTCCCTTCCTATAACTCTTATACTATTTTTGTGGACCGTAATATTTAAACCAAAAATTAAGATTTGTTCTGAACAAAAGTTCTGTCTAACTATGCATAGTGGGAGATTTGTAAATAAGAAAATCGAGATGTCAATCAGAGAAACTCGAAAATCATAAAGAGACATCCGACCAGCGCTCCTCACAGTTAGAAGGAGCAAACGTAAAACAGCAGCCAAAAGTGAAATCAAATCTTGTTAGGCCTTCTAGAAATTCTTTCGACTAAGACTTGAGAGAAATACAATTTGTATATGTTTTGGGCGCTTGTATCTTCTATTTTGTATGCTGTATCGAATCGTACGAATTTCTTGAAAGTTTTGGTGCAAGGCTTGTAAATTTAGGCCGGCTAATTTCTCACATTACAAGGTAGTATGCGAAATTAATGGAAAAGCACCAAGGATCCATTAATGTCAATCCAAAGCTGCTCTAAACTCCAAGAAGAACAACTTCAAGAGAAGTGCTTCAAAGCTTTTCAAAACATTACTGGATTTCGCTTCACGTTTTTGTAGATTTTGTCTGATGACGCAGATATTCAGGTCCATTCGCCGTTTAAGGTATGTAAAAAAGTTCGTAGAACGAGTACAACTTTTGTACTTGCTCATTAGCATTACAATAAAATTAGAGCGCATGCAAGGCTCAGCATAATCTCAAAATCGCTTTCTGGTCAAGTAACAGATAAAAATAGGAGATTAACGAATGTTATAGAAAAAATATATGAGATTTTCCGCAGTTTCAATAGTGGAAACACAATTTGTTTACGGTAAGTATCTTTAACTATAAGAAGGCATTAGGAAAAGACAGAATCTCTTGAAAAACGTGTAAGGTCTGCTAGAAACCTGTTACTGGTATAAGCTCTATAAGATATTCCGAGCTGACAGAGTTTTCCAGCATAAACGTGACCCATTGTCCGCTATACGTCACTCAAAAATCTGCAGCTCAATTCGAATCCGTTACGGTTATTCAGAAAATGTGAGCTTCATTTCTTTATGAATATATCTTTAATTCAAATAGTTTATTAACGAACAAGCGTTCTCGAACGTAATCGGCGGAGTCTTCAGGCGGCAATACATGAGTCGAGGACACTTAAGCCAAAGAAAGGAACCAGAGGGAAGGTAGGGCAAATCCACAAAACGCTGTCTATGCTTGTACTTTAAGATGAAATTTAGTGTGACGGAGATGCCTGGCGCATGAAAGAATGATTAAGCCTATTTTCCGCCTTTGACAGGTGAGGTGTGATTATTTCGCTTCTATCAGGTATCTTATGTCTTGATGTCACTACCTATGTCTCTAAAAAGAAGCATACCCGTGCTAAGGCTTTTTTGCTATTCGTAGTCCATGGTATCCATCTTCTCTGATGAGTTTGTCGTGCGTACACCTATCCTGGACAGCATGTCACGGCACCCACCCAACTGTGACATACACTTGGATGAACCTGGCACTCGTACTAAAAACGGATCCTTCATTCGTTCTAGTTCTAGAAGGGAACTCAAAGCTGGGACTGTTTGCTCACTCGGTGCTAAGCGCTCGACGAAATTTCTAAAACGGCCACAGTGGTGGGGCCTCCTCTTACGACCTGGAATTACATCACTTGAAGAGGACAGATCGTAAGCACAACATGATTGCCAAATAGCAATGAAGGTTAACCACAGGAAAGTAATTATGAATATTTAAAATCAAAAGTTGAGAAGAACCACAACAACCTAGCAGTTAGATGTCAACAGTGAAGGTTCGCGAACACTCCTTTTCCCGCTCGTTTTCGTGATCTCCAGTTGTTAGCGTCAAGGTATCTTGCTGTAGATATATAGTCATCTCCTCGGTATCGATTCGGTCACTCATGCAAGTTAAGGATCATTCAAATTGCAAGCGAGTGAACGAAAGGCTTTGGAAATAAGATTTATTAGGTTGTCCGGAAATTAATGCCCGTTTTGAATTCCAACCGCAGTAAGTCATACACTTCTCATTTCTAAATCGGTTGCAAAGCACCGTTCGATAGAGCAAAGCAAGCTCTACAAGATGGCCTTCCTGCTTTTGCAACAGCTCTCACCCACCTCGAGTTTCGAGCCAATAAGTAAAAAGACTCAGCAGCCCGAAAAATCGAAAAAAATCGTAACTCAGTTCATAAAAATCCTACAAAAATTCTTACTTGCTCACGTAAACACTATCCACATAAAACATCTACATACGCCTTTGCCGCATTTTTTTTCTCTGTTAAAAACCAAGAAAACGGGAATTTTCGTGCATTTGCCAAAGTGATGCTGAGCCATCCCCACATAGGTTGTTGTACACCACAAGCCCGTAGAGGTACATACTTAGATTTTCAGCTCTCTGCAAGCTTTAGTTCTCGAGAAATTTGAATTCTAGCTTAAACCACCTAACTAGGGAGAGCTATATTCGGTATTTCTTGAGGACAAAAGCTTGTAGAGAGCTGAAAATTTAAGTATGTACCTCTAAGGGCTTGTGGGTTACAACTACCTATGTGGGGATGGCTCAGCATTACTTTGGCAAATGCAGGAAAATTTCCGTTTTCTTGGTTTCTAACAGAGAAAAAAATGCGGCAGAGGCGTATATAGATGTTTTATGTGGATAGTGTTTACGTGAGCAAGTAAGAATTTTTGTAGGATTTTTATGAATTGAGTTACGATTTTTTTCGATTTTTTGGGCTGCTGAGTCTTTTTAGTTTTTGGCTCGAAACTCGAGGTGAGTGAGAGCTGTTGCAAAAGCAAGAAGGCCATCTTGTAGAACTTGCTTTGCTGTATCGAATGGTACTTTGCAACCTATCTAGAAGTGAAAAATGTATGACTTATTGCGGTTGGAATTCAAAACGGGCACTAATTTTCGGACAACCTAATACTACAGCTACAGCAATATTCTGCTCACTTACACCTCAAATTCTTCTAAAGGTTCTTTTTCATTGGGAGAGACAAAAGATAAGGAGTGCATGAGGTAGGTGACTTTAATTCGCACTTCAAATTAGCAATAATACGATGGCTACTAGCACACCAAAGTGTAACAGCACTACAACAAACAGAAGGTTCCAACAATTAGTGAAAGTATTTGAGAATATTGCAAATGAGGCTAGGACACAAAATTTGTGACACTGGCAAGAAAGAAAGTTAAAAGTGCTTAAGTAACTCTAGTGGCATAAAATTCGCTATCTGCTAAGTATGCCCTAAAACTTCAAAAAATCAAGTATTGTTTATGTGATGCCCACAACTCGGCAAACCTTGCCCCTACGTCTCATTTCAATAAAACTTTAGTTCGCGTACTTTTCCCAAAAGCCTCGAGTTCCGACCAGTATCAAATTTTATTGCGGCAAAAAACTAAAAATTGAAAAAGTGAAGGATCCGGGACTTAAACACCGTACCATTGTGCAGATCAATCAAGCACTGACCAACAAGCACTGAGCAGCAGTGGCGTACCGAGGGGGGTCGCCCCCCCCCCCCGAGAATGGGTCGCGAAATTTTTGAAAGTTACTTATATGGGTTATAAAAATGTGCAAGCGACTTGTTTATTTTTGTAAATAATTAAAATAATTTTTAAAAAATTTAAAAAAAATCAAATTAGCCTTGTAAAAAATTTTTTTCGGGGGCGTGGCTAACGCCACGCCCCCTTTTCCAGATTTTAGGGGTTGGGGACCCGCAAAAGTTTTGAGAAGCATCCCAAAATTTTTTTCGGAGTGCGTGGCTAACGCCACGCACCTTCTTTAGAAAAAAAATCCTGGGTACGCCACTGCTGAGCAGCATATTTGAAATATAAGGTGTAGTTTTGAGAAGTTAACCCCCGCGTTTCTTTGAAAGCTATAAATGCTGCATCTCGTTAATCAGAGTCGGTTGGGCAGTCCTAGTACGTTTTTGAGCTTTTCGTGGACCTTCAGGAAGAAAATAACTTTTGCATGAAATCTGAGCTCCCTATTCAAATATTAGATAACTTCATACTCACTTACCCTTATCTGTTCAGCTTTTACCAAGCCTTAAGGGCTGTTCTTACCAAAATCAGTTGTCAGTTTAATTTCACTTAATCTTCTGTGCCGTACAGATTTTAACGATGACGTACAGAAGGTTAACCCATTGGCGACGATGTGGACCACCGGTGGCCCACACACTTTTTGCCGCGAGTGACGATGTGGACCACCGGTGGCCCACACCCCTTGCAAAATCATATATTTTCCAGGTCTAGTATTTTTTCCACCGTTCAGTAATTTTTCCACGTTTTTGCTTTTTTAGAATCTGTAGACGTCGTAAAAGATGATTATAATTGTTTACAAAACAACTTCACATTTCGTAAATAATCACAAAACTTCCCCATGTCGAAAGTGTTGTGCAAAATCGACGCAAAAATTAGGCGTCCTCGTCAATGGGTTAAGTGAAGTACCCTAATTTCACGCGTACAAGGCGCGGGGTAGTCCTAGCTTTCATCGACCAGCCCGAACACGGCAAAGGACTTCGCAACCAAAGGAACCCCTTACCGTGCTGCGTTTTGCCTGACGAATCGTGCAGCATAAGGATCGCTTCTTAAAACACGTTGGAGCGGCTGAGCAGCTCGATGAAAGCTAGGACCACCCCGCGCCTTGTACGCGTGAAATTAGGGTAATACAAGAATGCCTATGTTACAAGAAAGCAGGACCTTTGACATAGCAGTTTTTTTGCATACTACAAGCCCTTCCGACCGTGTGTAACCCTACGCGGAATCAAAATCGCGTAAAATGCCCGAAATCCTGCCTTTTACTTTTGAAGGCCTGCTGGACGAACGTGGACGAGTTGTGCTCAACCTTGCCTCCGCCAAGTGGCAGCAATGCTTTGAAGGTGAAGGGGGAGATTATTCGACTAAAGGGAACCTTATGCTGTAAGAGAAGAAAGAAGATGTTTTCGCAAACCCGACTTGTAGTACGCGTTCTTCTTCACTGTATATTTATCCATCTAATTTCAAAATAATCAAAAATGAAGAGCCTTCGATAATCACTTTGATCCGATTGTTTAACCAAATTTTCATGTTGCAAATTTATGTTTCAACTCGGTCCCCAGCGACTCATACACTTGAAAAGCATAAAATCACATTAGCAGTAATTACCGCACAGTTCAATATAATCAAGCATCCTTCAGAAACCCGTATGCAGAGGCGTTTCGAGTCTTAAGTCATAATTTCAGAGCTCGGAAGAAGACGGGTCTCAAATGTCTTAAGCAATTTTTTCGAAGAACTCCATTCATTCCGTGATCCAAATTCGATTGAAAAGTACCAATCACAGAAAATTGCAGATTCCGTCAGAACAGCGTTGTTGGCTAGTTAATGTAGTCTGTGCAAATATGTAAATTCTGCCAAAAATGAACTGTTATGAGTGGCAGAAATTTTCATGAGGAGGTTGTGAGGAAGGAAAAATGCCATTAAGCATTGGCAGCATATGTCAACTCAATATATTAATTCGTACGATTGTGAAGGCAACACTACATAATACTTGTTACGCACATTAAATTCAATTAGATATTTATTTATCTACTTGGCACCAGTCAATATAAAAATAAAATGGATTGAAACGTACGAGCAAATCAAAATTGAAAGTCTATTTCGTAAAAAAAAAGCCGCAATATCACCCGTTGACAAATTATTAGCGTCAAAATTAGAGGTTTGCAAGTGACACAATAAACGTAAGTGATGTACAAACAAGAGATCCTTATCATAATTATTTTCACAACACTCAATCGAAGAATCTCAGATATGTCAAATTTGATTGTGTTTATATATGCATCAAAATGAAGCTTTTCAATGATATGTCGAAGCAGTAGAGACAGATGTGAACAATCACAGCAATATAAAAAAATCTGACCAGTTTTTCGAAAAAGTTCGTAAGAATTTAGGCGTAAGTCGGAAGGAGAATAGCAAGGAACATGTACATCAGTGAAGAGTAGAATCCTTTTGTCGATGAGTTACACCTTAAGATAAAATGTAAGAACATTATAAAAACCTTCGCTGAAGTGGGCTTACATGTCACTCGTGCAAATGCAGACATTCTCTACTACTACAAGACCTCCTATGGAATTTTCGCGAAGTGTACATTCGTTAACCTAGAAGAAGGAAAGTTCAATAAAATGTGGTATTATGATAATTCAAAAACTAACTCTAGACAATGCGTCCGTGTCGTTTAAACAACCTCTCTTGATTGGGTGCTGTGCTTGGCCTAAAATATTGAAGTTTTAAGAAGAATGTGAAGTTTCTGCATTCAATTCTCAGCAGCGTATAATCATTACGCAAAGTTGCAGATCTGGTCTTTTTTCTGTAGTTGAATCATTAACGCAGGCAATGCGCAAGTCGCGGCAGCAGACTCAGCGCGGCTTTAGCTCTCTGCGTCTCCTCTTTGCACATACTCCTTGAAAACGAAAAATCTTCAACCGCTCGCTGCAGGGAAAACAGCATAACACTGCGTAGTGTTGACGTTCTTAGCTTGACCATTCGTATATTTCTACTATTTTTTCTAACGTGAATCCCCAAGCATAAGAGCAAATTTATGTTTTACAATTTTATTCAGTTACAATCTCTATCATTTTTCCGCAAGGAAAATTCTTTAAACCTAAACGGCGCAGAAAGCAGATCAGAATGTTTTTTTTAATTATCTCACCTTTCATTTCAAATTTATAACAATAATATCCTGTACATGTGTTGCGACATGCGGTATCGTTTCCTAGACATTTCATGCACGTCAAAAGCTTTCGGTCTGAAAATAATATTTTTTTAGTGAAATTCAGCGTTTGTTAAAGTGTCTTACCAGTATGTTTGATAGCCAAAGAATAAGCGAATGCAAGAAGCAAAAATACAGCAATACATGGCCGTGGCATATCTGAAAATCTGAAAAATTCAATTCTTCCAGTTGAATTGACTTAAGGGAAAACAATACGACCATATAAGAGCGAAATATTTTGTATTAGGAGAATAATACAGGAAATTTTAAAAAGCAAAGTAGTTCGAATTTACCGAAGAATGACAATGATTAAAGAAATCATGCTGTAATTTCTGAGCGAATTCTGTAGGTCTACAATGGCTGGCTATAAACAATCTCTCCATGCCACTAACGCTTCAAAGCTCGTCTTTTTTATTTTTATCATCAGAAACTCGCTTTTCATTTCCTTTTCCGGGAAGATTAAAAGCTCTATTTCCAATTATTATTTTTCTGCAATTTCCACATTAACCAAAATAAAAGCACTCTGAGATTCTCGCGATTAGCTTGAAAAGAAATTAGATCATTGAATACAAGCAAATCGTACTGTTAGTCTTTCATTGACTGCGTATTTTGAGGACCATCAAATCGAGTCATATCCGCAAATCTATCAAGGTTCGATGCTCTTAAATTATATTTTTGATTGATTGAGAGAGAGAGACAAAATACGCAAGCTCAGAATGACAAAGTTGGTTGCTTACCAAACTAATCTTAAACTAGTACTTACCAAACTAAACTGACTAAATTCTAATATATCTTTGTCAATATACAAAAAATTCTAAAAGAAGAGGATTCTCAAAGTTACTTGGTCTGTTGTAATCTGTATTGATAAAGAAGTAACTACAGATAAACTTGAAAGAAGGTTCGGATGTTTTCGTAGAATTACGTCTCATAACCGTATCGCTATTCTCGCCTTTCATTGCACAAAACAAAGTTTACAAATGAATTAACAAAGGAAAGTCAACACCAGAATTATACGATTTACAATGGGCATGTTGCTGCGTCATTCTGAACTTATAAGAACTATTGAGGTGACATTTTCGAAAATGGAATTGATTTGGCCGAGTTCCGCCAACAGCTCACGCAAAGTCATCGTATTTTGACTCATACTTTATGAAGCAAAAAAAAAACCCTTAAAACTCTATAAAGCGAAAAAAACCTGGAAACCAATGGAAACTTAAACAAAGACTTAGAAAAATGCTGGTCAAATAGTCACTGTAGCATGTCGATGGTTTTACTTTTGTCGATTCGGTTAGCTCCAAAGGCTAAAATGCACTAATTGTGAGATTACACCAACTGCAACTGATTTATGAGTGATTGTCTAAGAAAGTAAGTGTCTAACAAGATGTAACTCTTAAGTGTGTAGTCGCTACGGTCAATTCAAAACATCGTCTGTACTCATCACATTAGTAACAGGTAAAAACATTTACATTGGCGGAGAATTACGACTTAGTCTGGGGAGCGTAAAGCAAAAAAAAAGAAAAATCAAATTTTGAATCATGTGATGTGATGGGAGCTACTTCTTGTACCACCGGTTTCAAAATTTATCAAAATTATCAATCATCAAAATAGGTAATCAATAATAATCAATTAAAATAAAAATGATTAAATTATACAATAATGAATTAATAAATAATCATAATCGAAAGAAAGAGAAGTAATCATGGAGAGATTCACCCAACAAGAAGTAGTCTACATATAAATAACGAATAATAATGATTATGAATAATTAAATATAAAATATGATACGAATAAATAAAATATGAATATAATACGAAAAGAAAAATAAAAGAATTATCCATTTTTAGCAATGTGTTTCAAGACCTATCAGCTCGAAGAATCTCATCATAGCAAGAAAGTGATAGATAGAAGTTGTGACAACTAGGACGACTTACCCTGATTCAAGAAAACGAAAAGTCTAGAACGAACAAATGACACATTTGTCAACAAAATGACTTCAAACAAATCGATAAAATTTTCAGCGAGACAAACAGTTTTTCCAGTGACAGGTTCTTATCGCAGATTTGCAACGAAAGCAACGTAGAGAATTGATAACATGCAAAGAAAACAAACATATGAAATGAATAAATTGAAAAAAAAAACTTTGGGGAAACGAAAGTGACAAAGATTGACAAAGATAACTTCCAATTTGAAGCATTTTCAACTGAAAATGAAATAAAACCATCCATGAAAACGGGAACACTGCAATGACATTGTGCAACGAACGATGTGTTTGTCTAGAGAATTGAATGATTAGTCATACCTGGGTCACTTTCGTGACAGATCTGTAAAAGATGCGAATCGTTGAAACGCCAGTTAAAACCTGTCCGAATCAATGCATTTTTTTTAGCATGAAACAAATCTTTGACTTTTTGAAAACAAAAACAGCCAGTAATTCAAAATGGAATGACAAACATGTCGTAGTAAATTTGCAAAAGAATCGAAACGAATATTTAAGGTTTTGATATGTTTTGAGATAGTGTAATAAGAATGGAGGAAAATCTTGAGCAATTAAAAATTTACATCCTTGTGTTTTTTTTGAAAAACTTTGAATTAAGCCAAAATACTCTCTCCAGCCTATTAAATAGTGCAGTTTTCTCAGCGACATTCATTTAAGCTTACGAACACTCGAAGAGCAGATATAGAAAAGGCAATGGATCAGAAATATTGTAAGAAAATTTCTATCATTCGTATAGAATTTTCGAGATAAAACAATGTGAGCACTAGTTGGGTCCCCTCACTGAACAGAGACAAGAATTATCTCTCCTCATACTCGATAACTTTTTTGTTGGAATAAATTTTCGAGCCGAAAAAATCACTGATAATGCAGTAATGTTAAAAGATTTTTTGCCTATCACTTGTGCCATCCTACTTTCACTACTATAAAAATATTAAAAAACTGGAAAATTTTTAGAAAAAGCAGCCTATGTGATAAAAGATAAACATTTGTAATTTTGTGATTTCCTTCACTCACCGGTAACAGGAAATCTTTGTAGAATTGCAAATCACAGAAGTCTAAAACAACTTGTAAATGCAAATTTTCAGCTTTTTTTCTCTTCCTTCAATACATAGTTCGAAGGAATGGTGGTCGAAGAGAAAGATGGAAGAGCTTTTTAAAGAGAATGAGCAAGAGAAGAACAGCCGGATAAAACAGGCATACGTGTGTATAACCCCTCTCATCCTTTAAATAATCAAGAGTGCATTTTCTCGACTAAAAACCTTATGTAGACAAGCAGCACTACAGCGTATGGATGAAAAAGCTAACGGATTAGAGATTTATCGAAGTAGCGCGATAGAGCACATACTGAAGTACAGTACACAACTCACAATGTAGACGACTCAGTTTTTGTCAAAAAAATTTCCTGTCAAACACTGCACTTTATGGGAGCAATGTACATAATAGATATTATACTGAAGTACAGTGAAAATAAAAATTCAAAAAAATGATAAAAGACTACTTCCTGTTTGTGCTCAGAGCCCGGCACGAGGTTGTCGAATGTCAAGAAAAACGAAAAAAATAGAAAAACGAAGCTAGCACCAAAAATGAAAAGTTTAGAGTGATGGCAAATTTCTGCAAGCAGATGAGGCCATAAGAAAGAGAATCGAGCTGCTGAACTTCGAAAGAATTGAAACTGACAATTTTTCTTTATGATGCAACTAGCTGGATATGAAAAAAAAACAACGAAAAAGTAAGAGAATGAAGCAACATTGCGCAACGAGCGGAAATGTTTGCTCAGAAAGTCGGACGCTTCGTCACACCGGGTTGGTTTTCTATTAGTTCTCGTAAAAGATGATCGTTGGATAATCTCCAGCAATACCAGTCCAAAACAGATTTCTAGTAAATGACTCACCTCTTACAAAAGAAAATCTCTGTGGATAAAAACAACGCTGCCTTTTCAAAATGTTTCACGCTCCATGCAAAGAAGTAGGGAGATAAAAAAGTTCGAAAAATCAACTCTTAGAAGTTGAAGCAACCTTAATCAAATTTTACTGTTCTTTTTGTAGAGTAACGGTAAGTGATGAAACATTACTTTTGTTATTCGCCCACGTTATAAAGATTTCAAGCTTGTATTTGCATGATAATTTTCATACTAAAAGGTAAACGTATTTATATTAATGCTTTTCATGACTTCTACAAAGAAAACGTGCATTCCCTCAATCTCAATCACTCTTCTCAAATCTTATTTTGTCGATTTGAATACTTTCTGTGATATCATCGATGGCCAATCCTCTCCTCTTAATTACCTACCCTGTGAAACAGCAATTTTTCTCCACTTAAAACACTCCCAGTCTTGCACACTTACACAGTTAATAATGCGATCGCAAGGGAAGAATGGATTTTGATTCCTATGTTTACAAAATTGATTGTTGAACAATGAAAATATCGAAATATAAAATAAGCTCAGCGAAACTTGGAAAGCTATCGATCCTAATAGATGTGAGAAAAGGATGAAACAGTTCTCGAAAACAAATCATGAAAAAAAATTGCTCAATAAGAGCGACTCCAAAGATTCCTTTTTTTTCATTACAAAGTCTTGTCTCATACGTGAATAAAAAGTAGTACAAGTGCTGAGTGGACGGAAAAAACTAAAGAACAGATTGAAGTGATGCCAATGTTTGTAACCATCGAGAATCGAGAGTTACTGGAATTTTTTGCAATAATGTCACATCAAAACGGTCAGGAATGAGGCAATATTGCGCAACGGTGAACTTTTCGCCTGGAGAGTCCAGAGCTTAGCCAGACGTTAGTGTATATAAGATCACTTCGAAAATACATTCGCTGGCAAATTCTCACCAAAACAAGCCCAAATCAAATTTCTATCGAATCACATGGGTCTTCCTCAAAAAGACGTTATCTGAAACCAAATAAGTAGTACTGCTACGATGCATATAGACACTAATTCTGGAGTCGCTACCGTAAGAATCAAAGAAACATGTATTTATTGGTCAGTTAAAGAAAAAACTGAAAGTGCAAGGGAATTGGTGAGAATAGGAAACATCCAGATTTTTCCTGAGGAGCATTTTCTACAAGGACTTCACAACTCGGAGAGAATTACGCGGTCTCATATCTCGTACCTCTGTGTACAATGTTTTAAATAACATAATTTAAACTTCCGCCCGAT